CGGCCGTTCTCGCACGCCTGACGCGTGGTCCGCAGACGCCAGAACGGATTAACGGTAATTACATTGAACCTTATGGGAAAATTTGCTTCGGGGTGCGACCAAATTCGAAGGGTGGAACGGATTAATCAGATTTACATTGAACCCTATGGGGAAATATGCGTCGGGTTACGACCAACTCGGGATACGCCCAGAGTGACAGAACGGATTAAGTTCGTATCCCGAGGTACCACTGTATTTCTTGAGTAACAAGTCCAGCTATGCTTTCCCCATCAATCAGGGCCAATCACTGGGTGAAGAACCCAGTAGGAAATATAGGAAGTTAATTTCTCCCATGGGTTTCATTGGAGAACCAGATAGTAATATTTCAGTTGGAGGCAACCTTCCAGCAGTATATGGTTGACATAGGCAAGCCTCTGTTTGAAATCCTTAACTGGTATCTGAGATACCATCTGAGGGGAAGGCCTTGCCATTTTCTGCCCAGTGCAAGACCTCCCTAACTAGTTGGCTTCCCTCACTTGAGAGAGACAGAAATTCACAGTAAGTAAAGAATTTCTATTTCCATGCTTGTAATTAGAGTGGAGAATGATGTTTTTATTTTTATTTATTTATATAAATGAATATATATCTCCATCCTTATCCTTATTTACTCTCTTTCATCTTGGTATAGTCTCCTTGCAAAAGTAATGCATCTCTATCAAAGCAAGAGTCTAGCAAAGAAGTGCAGAGGTCTGGAGGAAAGCAACTGTCCTCTACAAAATCTCAGGATATCTCCTATAGTTGGTCTGATGAGTCTTTATCCATGACCCAGTCAGGTAAGTGCTAGAGCTTCAAGTTCCTATATTGCAAACAGAATCAGTTAATGTTAACTTTTGGATGGTGAATCCTATTGCTTTTAGACAGCTGCTAAGGAGAATATTGCTTGTACTTGTATGCATGTCTGTGTGTGTGTATGTATGTGTGTGTGTGTGCGCGCACACCTGATTTAAGTTTAGAAGTATCCACCTGACAAGACCAATGTCATTTTTTTATCCTCTTCTGGAGACAGGGCTAACTAACTTCCATGATCACCAATTCTGCTAAATGCAGAATATTTAGATATAAAGATGCAAAATCTTAACAGATATGAAGGTAGTCTGAAAATTTCATTGGAATTAATATGGCTTGAATGCCATGAAGATTACAGCATTAAATATATATGCATATTTCCATCAATTTTGGATTTTGCAAATGAAAAACACAAGACCCCTCATCAGAAAGATTACAGAGAGCGGAAAGGAGTGGGTAAAAAGAACTAAATCGTTTTTATCACTTTAGTTCTCATGTTATTTAAATTTAGAAGTCCTAAATTGTTAGTTCTGTTTTTAATAAAGAAAATATAAAGAAGCATAACTGTTATTATAATTAGGGTTAAAACTGGCATCTTAACAGTGATTGGGTAAAATGGATTTATGTAGCTGTTCTAGCATGCAAATATGCTTTTTTCTAAATAATATAATTTACCCTTTTTAGAAACTACATCTGATCAAAGTGACATTGAAAGTCGAATCTGGGCTCTGAAAGATGAATTACGGAAAAGAAAGTCTGTTGTTTATCAGCTGAAAAAAGAACAGAAGAAGAGGCACAAAGAGAGACTTAAAGCTCAAGAGGCAAGTTTGATCAAACAGTTAGAGGTAAGAATTAATTTGAAAGGAATGTTAAATAGAAATTGTGTATCTGTTATATATCTGTTATATATTAATATTGCCATGTTTTCTTTTGGCTCATGTATTGATTTTCTCTGAATAACTTTTTTTTCCTTTAGATTTGCTTTGACACTGATAGTGATTCAGTAATATTGACAAAAAAATGAATACACACACACACACAAACTTGTACAATTCCAAATTCTAGTACTCAGTAAGACTAGTAAATAAAAAAAAAATACAGAATAAGATAATTTCCCCATCTTCCTAACAATAACGTATTTTTTACATCATCAGACTTACGATGAATTCATCAAGAAAACAGAAGAAGAATTGAATCGGGATTTGGATGCAGCGCCCACAGCTAAACCTCAAATCAAAACTCTGTCCTCAGCTACTGAGAAACCAAAGATCAAGCCACCACCACTTCCTAGGTAAAATAACTGTGTCAGGATAATACTGCATGAGGGCCTTTCCAAATGTACACCTTTAGCAGACTAGAAAGAGTTTCTGTCTCTTTCAGAGGGAGAAAACCATCTTATACGCATGAATATTTAATAGTCTGAGACCCTGATCAAAAGAAATACTTTGATGAATTCATGTTAAAAAGAATCTGGCCAAGTAATTTATTGGTAAATAGTCTTGTATGAAGTAAAACATGTTCCAGAGGAAAGAGAGTATTTATAAATTAATATTAATATTAATAAAATTATTAGTTATTAATTAATTAATACTTATTACTTACATACTTATTACTTAAAGAAAATGTTGTCAGAATGAATACATTAACACTGCAGTAAAATGAACAAAACATGCAGTAAACCGTAGTACTCAAAATCATAAAGTCATGACCAAAAATCATGCTAAAAAAAGAAAAATGTTGGCTATTCTTTGTGGAGGTAAAAGATAAAAGAAGCATGACATGCACTTGTGTTAGACCCTGGGATGCAGCTACCTATAGGCAATATCTGTGATGATGTCTCCATTTGCCTGTCTCCATTTTGACATCATTGCAGTTTACTGCAGATGCTGCTGCTAATTTATTTAAGAGATTAATGCCAGGTTTTACTACCAAAACTGGACTGTGGATGGGAATCTGGAAAGTATAGGTTATGCAGAGATCACTTTTTTCCCCATCAATTCTGTGTTGCTGCACATCACTTGATTAGGTTGGGTATGTCTTTCCTTTTCAAGCCCAATCTGAGTGATATATGCCAAGTCAGTATGATTTCTCAGGACCACATCCTCAATGACAGATGTTTATTATTCACTTGAAATCAGTCAGTTTTCTGATATGGTAACCAATCTCAGATTGAGAAAGAACTGTGAACAAAATTCTGTAATCTGGTCCCCAATGCTTACCTTCCTCTGGAATGGTAGATATCCATAACCTCACTCCCTAGCAATTAAATAAAAAACAAAAGCTAACAAATGGAAAAATTACAACCTTCTCCTGATATATTTTGCAAACAGAAGTATGTAAGGATCAGGACAGAGACAAATGTAAAGCACAATGTCCGAAGCTTCAGTTTTGTCAACAAGTCTTAATATAATCTTCTGGGTAAATCAAGATGTGGTCTTCTATCCATTTGAAACAGAAGATTGAAAGTAAATTGAAATTTTATTTTGTCTAGACAGCTGTTGGGAAGCAATAGGCATGCAACTGACAGAATATCTAAAAGAATATCTAAAACTTAGAAACCTAGTGGGCCATTGAACAGACCTGGGTGTTCTAGAACAGTGGGATTAGAATCTGATTTCAAATCCTAATTTAGCTGTGGATTTTGGGTGGATTGCGATATTCAGAACTCTGGATTAAATATTGAATGTATTTTTTTTTTTAATTATCTACTGTGCTTTTTCTTTGTTTTGTTGGTTTTATTCTGTTAATTCTGGTATACAATACGTTCAGTATGGTTAAGATACAGTATCTGTCAGTATATGTGTGTTTTATTTAACGCTTTTTTTTCAGGTCTGAAACATCCAAAAGTTGGAAATCAGTCACTGATTCTGAACGTTCTAGAGGATCTTTGGAATCCATTGCAGAACATGTTGGTAAGTACCCTGGAAATATTTGTTAAAAATATTGAAATTATACAAGTTATTTACATATCCCTAATGTGGTTAAAATACTTTCAACTAAAAGAACTATTTTTTAAAATTATAGTTGAAAAATAAGAAAGTAAAATTCAATAGTTTTTAATTTTTTTTTGGATTAACACTTTTTTCCCCCAAAAATGCAGTAGTAGTATTGCAATGAGAAAGAATCTGTTGAATTATTTCATATTCAATACAAATTCTAAAAATGTATTTTATTTTTTATAAGGTATTATGCATATTTTCTAACAATTTTTATGCCTTCCTTGACCTAGTTTATGTATAACAGTTCTTAGAGAAAATTCTGGTTTATTGCATCAAGCAAGAATGCTAGTGCTTGCTACCAGTCACATTAAGTGTCCCTGCTTATACTCTGTCTAGTTCATTTTGCATCATGCCTGAACTGGAATTAGTAGCTGTTTAGAAAGAAACAAGGTAGGGATTCAGATTCAGAATAGCACTAAATAATTTACTTGAGTTCACTAAATGTCTCTCTCTCCACTCACACCTCTTCATTCTAGAATTCTTTTAATAAACATTTAAATTTAATAAAATATCAGACATGGAAGGAAAGATCAAACATCTCAGAACAATCACCTCCTTTATTGTATCAGAGGTTTAAAGGGAACATTTATATATTTTTATAACCCCTGGATATATTTTAGAGTCAGTGTTAACTCCAAATGCATAGTAGAATTAAAGCATTTATGAAGTCTTATTGGTTTATACATTTGATTGAAGTATTGTGTTTAAGTGATACTTTAGTCGCTTTACATATAAATAATGGAATATGCATACTAATTGATAGCACAGGTTAGCCTTCTCTAGTAATGATTCCAGTTTTTCAGTATAACACTAGGATTTTTAATTTCTTTAATAATGTTAAATAATAATGCAACATTGTTTTAAGTATTTCTGATTTTTTTTTATTCTCTTAAGATGCTGTGTCTCATTCTAAACAATCTATGTCTGCAAACACAAAGAAATTCACTGAAGCAGAGATTCAGGCAGAGCAGCAATCTCAAACACCATCCACAGTCCTCAAAACTCTAAGAAAATCTACAGCAGAATCCGATGATTCGTACAGCATACTCTCATCAGCTGTTCCTAAAGACTTAGGAAACACAAGCAGAATATCTCCCATATCAGTGAACAGGTCTGAAGATGCAGTGAGTTATGATCCTCCTCTTTCCACTAACAGATCTATGATGCAAGAATCTGTAAAATCAAAACAATTAGAGGCTGAAATAGCTAACAGAGCTTCTGAAATATCTGATGCCTCAGTTTTTGACTTAAACCAAAATAATTCAACTTCAGCTTCTTTAAAGACAGATGTCCCTCCAGAGACTGAACTGTTGAAAAAGAATCAATTTGTCTTAGAATGCATAAGTGTGCAGGAAATCAAAGAGATGCCAAGTGAAAGATTCAAGGATGATGAAAGTATTATATCAGTTAAATCGTCTGATAGGCTGAGCAAGGATACACTGAAAGGTGATTCCCTGGTTTCAGAACAGAGTTCCATTTGCAAAGTGCCATCATATTCTAATGATTTTGAAGAATCTTCCTTAAGAAAAGATGTATCAAAAAATGAGATAGTTCTTACTGAATATTACAAAGATATTTTTGATGCATCTGCATTATCTTTCAGACAAGATACAAGGTCGCAGGGAGAGAAATCTTTGTATGCAAGAGCTTCTAGGAGTAGATCTCCTAGTTTTGGAAGTGATGATGAAATAAGTGAATGTCTCAGTGAAAAATCTTTGTCTGTGGCTGGTAGCATTCATTCGGAGAGATTGTTAGAACTCAAATCACCAACAGAATTTGTGAAAAATAAAGAGTGTGGTGATGTGGAGAAAGAACCAGCTGATGATGATTCATCAGCTTGGGCTTCCAGTTTCAAGGCATCATCAGAAAAACAAGAAGATATTTTGCTAGGTTTCAGCATTGGTGACAGAGTTCTTGTGAGTAATGTCCAGCCTGGAACACTGAGATTTAAAGGTCTGACAAATTTTGCTAAAGGCTTGTGGGCTGGTGTAGAGCTGGACAAGCCTGAAGGAAACAATGATGGCTCTTACAATGGTATTCAATATTTCGATTGTAAAGAAAAACATGGTATTTTTGCTCCTCCACAAAAAATATCTCTTATTTCAGAAAGTTTTGGCAATGACATGGATACAAATGAAAATTCGTTCTTTAAGCATAAACTAGATAATCAGTACAAAACAAATCAGAAAGGCCCAGACAGTCTTGAAGAAGAAAAGCATAAGGAAAGAAATTCAAATGAGAAATCTCCAAGAAAATCATCTGCTTTAGAGAGCTCAGTTGGAGCTGGAGGTTATGTAAAACTTACTGACCAAAAGGGCTGTGTGGCAGCAGTTATTAGTAGTGTTGAAGAGTTTGATCAAGAAACCAGTGTTTCTGACTCTCCCAAATCCTCTATAAATGATAATGGAATGTTATCTACTGCCGTTTCTAATATCCACAAAGAAGATTCTGTTATTGTAGTAGGAGGGATTTTGGACAGCAGCTTTCCTGAGAAATGGAAGAAGCAGCCTGTTTGGCAGGAGCAAACAGAAAAGTCAAATAGTCTTTCTCCCAGTAACTTGGAGAAGTCTGCAACGCCACTTCTGGACTTGTTGACAAAAGAAAGAAGCCAACTGGAAGCACAACTTAAAGTCCCATCCCAAGAGAAGGAAGATCTACTAGATCGACAGGAAAGGGTGGGCTTGTTGGCTGACAGTCTCCTGCAGGGTTTTGTGAAAGACACAGTCAGTCAATTTCAACAAATCAAGAAGGCAAGAAATGAGAAGATCCATTTTAGCAATCAAGAACTCAGTGCTGTCCAAGAAAAGAAGTCAGCTAATGAACAGCAGAAGTTTTTAGTTGTGTCTGAATTGGATGATGGAGAAGAAGTGTCTTCTCCAGATATGTGTCCCAGGCCCGTAAGTATAGTTCCTAATTAAGATAAGTAAGACTAGAGTAATGCTTCAGCTATGAAGTTTACCAAGCTGTGTCTTATTAACAAGCTGTGTCTTAATGAATCACTATTTTTAACAAATGTTTGTGTTTCACATTTTTGTTTGTTTTTATTATATTTGTACACTGGCACAGTCAAATCAGACTCCCAGTAGTTCACAGCAGATCAAGAACATAACAACAATGTAACTAAAGCCACAGCACTACTACAGCAAGGTAAAGTAAAATTAAACCAAGCAATTCATGACAAATATATCACAAAACAGCAGTGTGTCAAAGACAGTAACAATAACCAAAACATTCAATAGCATCATTTCTCTCTCTGTAAGCTCTCCAAAAAAACCTCTATTTTCAAAAATGTTTGGAAAGCTTATAATGTGGAAGCAAGTCTAGTATTGAGAGAGAGGCCATTTCAAAGCACGGGTCCACCTATCAAAAAGCAGTACCTGTGAATCTCATATCCCCTTACTTCATGGAAATGGGGAACAGCAGTTGCTCTCAAGGTGTACATACTGGAAGGTCAATTCCAGTTGAAGAAAACAGTTCTGAAGGTACCTCAGTGCTAGGCCACATAGGACTTGACAGGTTAAAACTAGCATTTTGAATTGTGTATGGAAGCCAACACGCTACCAGTGAAGCACCAGTGTAATGTTCCTGTGGTGATGAGTGCTAGCCAGCCATGACCTGTAGCTTCTCAAAGGTCTTCAATGGCCTGTAAAGTACATGGCTGTAAGCCAACCAAATTGTGATGAGGGGATAAGTCACTGTCACAAGGTTCTCCTGCTTTAGGTAAGGCTACTACAGAAGCTGGGCAAAAGCCCTTTTAGCTAGGGCGTCCACCTGCCTATCTAGCAGTAGGTGTGAGCCTACAAGGATCTCCAAGTTGCAAATGTCCCCTTTCAGGAGCAGCGGAACCTGATCAAGAGACAATATGGGAGCTGACAAAGCACTTCAGTGTACAAATAGCAACTCCATCTTTTTTGGGTAGTTATATATTTTTTGCAAAAGAAGCTGATGACAGTAAATTGAACTCACTGCTTTAAACAACAAATTATACATACCACAAACTGCTTTTGGAACTCTAGTGTTTCAGAAGCAGTTTATCAAAAGGCAGAAAGAGTCTGGGAAAACGAAGTATAAAGCCTTCGTTGGATATTTTATCATGGGTTTGGCTTGATCTTTGGGTTTAGGATGTTTGGTTTACTTTTCTTCAGTTTGGGATGCTAACGACTGAATTCTTTCTTTCTTTCTTTCTTTCTTTCTTTCTTTCTTTCTTTCTTTCTTTCTTTCTTTCTTTCTTTCATTTTTGCTTACGCATGAAACTAAAAGGTAGATTGAACAAGAACTGCACAATTACTTATTTGCACTTATATTATGCCTTTCTTGAAGAAGCAAAAATTAGCATACCTAATATTTCAATCTAGTTCTGTCCTCACAACAATACGATGAAGATAATGGCCATTTCAAAGAAGGACAATAAGTAATTTAACATGGGTCGCTGTAATCCTAGTCAGTATACTTTTCTATGTTCTGTGTTTTATTTTTTTGTGATGGAATTATATTATTTTATATTTTTGTTTCTCTGATAGAGAAATAATCCATGAGGTACTGCTGTTGTACCATTTCCATTTCATTAAGTGGGGCTTGCACATATGGCTTGGTCTGCGTGGTCACCTGCCAGGGACACACCTCAGCAGGTCCCCTAGTAAGGGCCATTAGAATCCATTGGATATTGTGACAGGGACTGTCTGAAAGAAAATGTTTTTTGGCATATGAGGACTGCAGTAGGTTTGATGATAAACCAATATCACCAGGGGATCATCAGGTTTGGGGCAGGGATTACAGCTTAACACGTCTATTTTGCATCTTTTTATTGGAAAAAGTATATACTGGCTGACTTTTGGTGATGCAAACTGGGGCTGCCCAGTGAGCCTCAAAATGATGTCTCATTGTTTGCATGCAGCCTGTGGACTGAACGAAGTGGGGTAGACCCAGAGCCTTTCCTTAGACAAGTCAATCTTTGGCTGGAACCAGCAACAAATTCCTCACAATTTTTGTTAACATAGAAATGAGTTAATCTATCTCAGTTTTCTGGATAGGGAATTGCTGATTGGGAATTCCAGCCACATATCACAATATAAAACACCTGTTAGTAATAAAAATAAATTGCTGATATAAATTCCCCTGCTTAAGGTTCCAACCTGCTCAGTTCTAATGTTCAGTAAGAAGCCTTGTGCTCCTCAGACTTGTATGCAGAGGCACTGCTTTTTAAACATGGCATAAAATGAAACCCAGATCAGAGGAGGAATTTCTGAGCTTTTATTACCTTTTATTTCTGGATAGACATTATGTTGTATTATGCTAAATTCTTGGATTTCTCTGTCTCTCACTTTCCCACATCCAAAGAACAAAAAAGAGGTTAAAATTGAAATTATGATTATCTACCATTAAATCTCAAAGCATTAATGGCTAATACATACAAAATCTGAAGCATAGTGCAGGGAAGACTTATTGTTGTAAGTAATAATCACTTTCTTATTATTCAGGAAAGTCCTGTGTTTGGTGCCAGTGGACAGGAAGAACTTGCCAAGAGGCTAGCAGAACTGGAGCTTAGCCGGGAGTTTCTGAGTGTGCTAGGAGATGACCAGGATTGGTTTGATGAGGATTTTGGCTTGAGTTCACACAAGCTTCCTCAAACACAAGCTGAAGAATCAGCAGTATTACCTAAGATAGAACTGCCAAAAGTGTCCCCAAAGCCATGCGAAGAACCCTTGGCTGTACCATATACTGCAGAAGAGTTGGAGAAGTTGGTGCATGCAGCAACTGAGAAGCTATGGAAATGCAAAGAGTTGGGGCATGATCTTCAGGCTCTCAGCCTTCTCAGAGACATGCATGAACCCCCCAAAGATGATGACACTGAAACTGTTAGTAAACACATCTACAAACAGGTATATAATAATTATCTCAAATTATTGTATGAAAATAAAGGAGAGGAGTCCCAATCTTTTAAAAAAGAAGGAATGCCGTTTTGGCCTCTGACATGATTAGTGATAGTACAAAGCAAAGTATGCTGCGTTTGTGGAAGGCAGATACAATTAAGTGAGAAAGAAGGGTATGAAGTATTTTTAAAAAGCCCTAAAAACAGTTTACCTTTTTAGGAAGCTCTGCATCCCACATTACGGCCCAAAGAATAGCAGTAGTAGGCAAAGAATTATATTCCACTGGCTGCATAGTCAGTGTTCAGCATAAATACTTTCACAAATCTTTTGTTTGGTTCTCTGAAAAATGATACAGTGTTATAATAATATAAAATAGTAATACGTTTCTTTTACTTACTTTTATTAAGGCTGTGTTTGATTTAACAAGAGAGATTTTTGGAGAAATCTTTGCAGAAGATCCAAATTTGAATCAGCCCTTATGGATGAAACCCAGCAGGATCATTTCTGGTTACTTCCGACGAGTAAAAGATCCAAATGATCTTGAAGAAATAAAAGTAGGAATAAGATTAATAACTTGAGCTTTAAATAGATTTATAGAAATAAATTACAGTTTATCTAGAGAGTGGTTCTCAAACATTTTGGTCTCAGGATTCCTTTACATTCTTAAAAATGATTGAGGACCCCAAAGAGCTTTGGTTTATGTGGGTTATATCTATCAATATTCACTGTATTAGGAATTAAAACTCAGAAATTTTAAAATATTTACTTATTTGACTTCATGGTCCCCTTGAAAGGGTCTCGGACACTCCCAGGGGTCCCCAGACCACACTGAGAACCATTGGTCTAGAACCTGAGGCAGAGTGTAAAGTCTGGCGGAGTTTTATTATGCATTTTCACTTGAAAAATAATTTTCTTACACCATCAGTCATATTCTAAGATGAATGTACATATGACACCGTTCCTCTGATTTTTCCACTTTGGTTTCTTCTTATTGTATTGTTGATTTCACTTAAATATTGAGTGAATGAGCATATGGATGAATGCTTATATTTCTTCAAACTAAAACAATGAAGGCTGCTTTAATTGTCTCTAATATTTAATATTGTTCTAGTTACAAATCCATCCAAGGTGGCTTATATATAACATATACAATATATATATTTAAAAATACAGTGAACGGTAACCAATATATAATGAATTAAGATCCTTCCAATATAGCAACTAGTGATAGCTACCCCGGATTACCCAGTCAGGGATGGGGATAGTTCAAAGGAATGCCTGATGCTGCATTTATCTGGAATGTAAAACAGTTGAGCCACTGTCATAATTCATAATGAAGTTCATGGTTATTGCTAGAGTTAGCTACCAGATTGCTTTATTACAGTTGTAATTGCCTAGAAATACGATGTGTTTTCTGTTGCATATATGCCATATCTAGCTCCTCACTAGAAGTCTTCCCCCGAAAACCGCTTGTAGAGATGATGCTGGGACTAGAAAAAACTTATTTAGTTAGCATTTTTTTTTCTTCTTTATCCTAGGTTTTCATAACAACTGAGGTTCTAAAGCTCCTAAATTTGAGAAAGGAGTCAAACAATAAAACAGACTGGCAGAAAATGATGAAATTTGGACGCAAAAAAAGAGATAGAGTGGATCACATACTGGTTAGTAATTATTTTTCAATTATGCATTGTAGTCAGACATAAATAGCTGGTAGCCTTTATGGTTAGAAAGAATGTGTTAGGTCTAATGTTGTTTGTATATTAGGTGTTAGCTTGTCCTTCTCTCCCAGATCTGCTCTAGAATGTCTTTCAGCCCTCCTAATCAGAAGGAATGTAGGCGTGCGGAAAACTCCATTCCACTGGCAGCCAGATTAAACATATCCTTTCCTGTGCTTATAAAGAACCATATTTTTACTTGTGTGTAATCCATACACAGTAAACTGTGGATACATTTCAATTAAAATTAGGCATTTCCAAACTCAGATCTTTAAATAGAATATATTAAAGATTTTTATTTACAAGGGTTTATAGGCTGCTTCAGTTAGAACCAACTCATTGTACAATTTCCACTCCATAAGTCAGGATTTCTTTAACATTTAATGTTTGTAAAGGAACAGGGCTCTGTAACACATTGGTAGTTTTGCCAACTCAGTCAAAACTTACTGCCACCTTCTGTCTCATCCCTGCTGGTTTCATAAAGACATGTTGCTTTGACTGAAAGCAGCCAAGGCTTGACAGTGCCATTGGTAGATAGCAAACCCCAAAGTACCCATCATCATTTTTTGCCCAAAGTAGGGAAGGTTAAACTTGGGATGGCTTCAAAACTAGTGTCCCTGGAACTTTTGTAATGAAGCACGAAAGGTGCTGGCCTAAAACACAGGAGACTGGGAGTTCTAGGCCTGTCTTAGGCATGAAAGCCAGCTGGGTGACTTTGGGCCAGTCACTCTCATTCAGCCCAAATCACCTCATCGGGCTGTTGCTGTGGGGAAAATAGGAGGCAGGAGGATTAGGAATGTTTGCTGCCTTGAGTCATGTATAAAAAAGGCAGGATAAAAATATTATTATTATTAATAATAATAATATTATTATTATTATTAAAGACAAAAAAAGTCTGGATAGTGGACATTGTATTGTATTACCTGGCAACAGCAGAATAGAAGAGAAAGAACTGGAGAAAATCCCAAAATACAAAGACCTACAAATAGAAGTGGAACGACTGTGGCAAAAGAAAGCAAAGATAGTACCAATAGTAATAGGCAACTTGGGTGCAATCCCAAAACATCTGGAGCGCTACTTGAAGACCATTGCCATTGCCAAAATCACCATCAGTCAATTGCAAAAGGCAGCAGTACTTGGAACAGCTTACATCCTGCGACGATACCTCTAATGCCATTAAATAACAACATCTGCCTATCCCAGGTCCTTGGGAAGGACTCGATAGGTGGATAAAAATGCCAGATCCAGTCTAAACAACTGGCTGATTGTGTGACCAACAACAATAATGTCATGCAACTTTCAAGATTCAAGAACTGCAGTCACCTATGCAGTTTCACAGTTGGGGAGAGGCTTGCCATACTTGCCAAATTGTGATTCCATAGTCTGTTTAATGAATAACTATTTAAGTTATCCTGGTTTTATGGCGGGCAGTAGATGTGTCAATCAGATTTTTGCTCATCAAGAAGTCATTGAAAAATTATTAATATGAAAAAGAAAGTGTATCGTATTTGTGCTGATTTAAAGAAAACATGCAGTAAAGTGAAAAGATTTGAATTACATTTTGCATGCATATGTAGTTAAAAGTTGGTTGCTGAATGTGGTAAAAGCAGTACATAATAGAGATAAAATGTGGAAAAATAAATGGAATGCTTAGTTAACGATTCGACATTGAGCAGGGAGTAAGACAAGGCTGTTTGCTTGTTTAATGTATTTATGGACACATAAATATGCCTGTGATGTAAGAGATGCGTTGTTTGATAGTCTAAATATATGTGTACTTCTGGAAGAGATGATACCTTGCTGTTGGGTGAGACCCCAACTGATTTGCAGCGAATGTTAGATTATATGATGCAACATGGAACACGATTGCTGTTTTTAACAGAGAAAATGGAGTGAATGATTGCAAGTTATACATAAATGGCAAAAAAACTAGAGCAAGGAGATGAAGGTGTGTATGTTGGGAAAATATTTATTTCAGAAGGGAAAATTGATGGAGAAAATTCAAGAGGTGCAATTGCTGGTAGAAGGGTAACAGGTAGTATTTGGTCTATTGTGAAGAATGAATGTCAGTGGAAAAGTGTGCTTCTGACCAACTTTCTAATATGGAAATGAAAGTTGGCTAGATCAAGAAAAATATAAAAGTAAGTTTAATTTCATAGGAATGGGGTATTTAAATGTACATGATAAAACAAGAAGATATAGGGTTAAGAATGTATGGGTGCTCAGTAAATGTGGACTGAAAACAAAGTGAGGGACCAGTATAAACATACACTGAGAATGAAGATCAAATTACAAAATAAATATATGAAAGAAGAATGAATAGATTGAGGGGAACAAGAAGAGTGAGAAAGTTATGGTTGCTTGGAGTTGATGAGTTCCTGAAAAACAGAGGCAAGAACTTTAAAGAACAAAAGGCAGTATATAGACACAATGGAAACAAGGAAGGTATGGAGAAGTAGTAAATGATGTTGATGCCAATTAGTTTTAGTATGCTTTCTTGTTATGTATCTCATGCCTTTAATTTCTTGGGCTTCCTGTTTCTTACTCCTGTTCTGCACCATGTATAATATTGCTTACTCCAAAAGTGAGTAGTGTGATAGATATGCACGGTATGTATGTATATATGTATATAACTATCTCAGCCTAGCTAAAACTTTTTTCAAAAATATTTTATGGCAAAATGGCTACTTTTGAAGGTAGAGGAGTATAGGGAAATTGTTACCTCATATCCTTAATTGGATATGGAGATACTTAATAATGCTGACACTGTTGCAAAGCATGAATAGGCTTAAAGTTACTAACACTTCACATAGTCATTTCAGAGGAATATGAATAACACCAAAGCCAGGTTACTGGAGTGGCCAGTCATTGATAAGTGATGGTGAGTCATTGATTAATTGATTGATTGATTCAGTACCATCAAGTCAGTGTTGATTCTTAGGGACCATATACAGTGTGGTTGTAGTCCCATTTTTACGTTTTGGTTTTAAGTATAATATATCTAAAAACTATTATTCACTTTCTTTCCTGTGGGTTGTAGAAAAACTAAAGGGCCTTTGTGGCTTTTATATAATGGCTGTTACATGGATTTACAATAATAATTCTTATTATATATGTTTACAGGATAGTATTTTAATAGTAGTGACTTTTCTCCCTCCCTTTTCTAATTCTAAGGTGCAAGAATTGCATGAGGAAGAGGCTCAGTGGGTGAATTATGATGAAGATGAGCTATATGTGAAGATGCAACTAGCAGATGGGATTTTTGAGGCCTTAATTAGAGAGACTATTGATCTCCTCAATCAGATCACTGAAAAACAGAAGCTGTTGCTTGTGTAACATCAAACTATATTTTTCTCAAAATGATGCTGTTACCAGAGTACAATATGATCTTTAAATTGGCTGAGAAGTGATAGAACATCTCCTCTTCCTGTGCTGCCTTGGATCTCCTACACTGAATTTGTTTCAAAAAGGCTCCCACTCCCCCAATGTGCTTTTGCCAATTCAGTATGTACAATCATAGTTGGCACTTGTTGTTTTGATATGGCAGTTTGTAAATGGTTGGGTTGGAGCACCAAGTACCCAATGATGGAAACACAAGTTATTAGTAAACGTTCTTCGTTTTAATAACTGCTGTTCTAGTTTGTTTTAAGTGTAATTTACAATTCTGTTAATGGGCGTAACAATTTATATGTCAGTCCAAACAAACATTTACCCTCTTATGTAATTTCCATCTGTCTGTCTCACTGTGGACTTACTGTCATTGGATTTATGCATGGGGATCTGAGGAGTCATGTTCCCTTTCTTCAGCTAAATTTTTATTTTCACTGCTTAGAAGATTAATCTGGGCTAATTTTTCTATTTTTCCACTATATTTGTTTTTCCTCAGTGAACCACCAGCTGCTCCTAAGTAAATGGTACTCAGGATTCTCTCAGGATTTTGATATGTGAGAGTTAGGAACAAATGCTTACTTAATGTAGGCCATTGATCCCTTTGATTCCTCCCTTGCTGACCACCTTACTGTAATGTACTGGTGAAACCATTACTTGAACTAGCTAGGGTTAGGAGTGTATGTACCAAAGAGAGTGATACTCAGTGTTTAACTCTGGACCTGTTTTTTTTTATGTGTGTGACATTTCTTCTAACTTATTTTATAACTCCTAAGAAATAAATGTCTAGTGCTATATGATTGCACCGTTATAGGATTTAAAACATCAGAATGTCTGTACACTAGGAATGCATCTGTCTCATAAAAAAGGAGAATCACACTGTGTGCAAGCAATCCATCTGAAAGAGACAGGAATCTACAAAGATCCAAATGCATGTTTTTCATTGTGGGGTAGAAACAGATTGTGAAGAGGCATATGTTTTATCAAACTAATGTACCTGGAAAGGGAAATAGGATGTCTAAAGCCCTTCTGCCAAGATTTCCATGACTGTTAGGGTGGGGCCACTATCAAACACAGTGTGGATCATACTGCCTCCATTCCTCCCCCACTCCCCCAAACTTTTCTCCAGGGAAAACAAGGTAATGTAGGCTTGACTACTGATGCCTTAATTTGAAATCTGGATTACTTGAGGAATCAAAATCTGTTAATCTATCCCAGCAGAGACCGCATTCCAAAGCATAGGAGAAGGCACCCCAAAGACACTATGCACTAATTTATGCCCTTTTCCCTTTCATCTTTAGTTTCTTGGTCTTCCAGTTAAGCATACGTCTGCCAGTACTGTCTTGTTGATCTCTTTTGAAACGTTTTATGATTTATTTGCTGTTTGCACAGTAACCCACAACCAAGATAGCTCCTTTTCACCAGAAAATATACAAGAAAATTGTTGGCATACAATCAGAAATTCTCATATGTGGATCGACAGAATCACATTTGTAAATTTGGAATGATTAATTATACCTGTAAGGGCTAAAGGAACAAAACGACAGTGACAATAACCAGCACACATATGTACTAGCATTTAAGTGCCAACCTTAAATCTGGTGGAGCAAGCTGCTATGAGTTAAGTGTCTCTTCATACTGAACCTCAGAATGTTCTTAACGCATGTTTAATCCCTAAGCAAAGTTGCTGAGTTTTTTTGTTTGTTTGTTTTTGAACAAATGAGGCCATTTTCTAACCGTGTTAGGTTTTACCATTTTGGGGACAGCCATGTCTTTTTGCCCACATAGATAAATTATGAGAATCAAGGGAATATCCAAACAAAGGGGTGGGGAAAATCACCAACCAAACTGATAGCGATATTGATGAAATAGAATATTGGCATGCCCGAGGTTACTAAAACAATAGTATTAGTATTAATTATAAGCAATCAGGATATTGCTTATCTCAAAAGTAGTTGCTGTGATCCATGGTGGTGCAAAAGCTTCACTGCAACCAAACCTGGAGTAAAGGGGCTGATATATGGTATAGATTTAAATTGAGAGAACCGTGGCTGTTATAGCATTCTTTGCGAGGCAATGGTTGCTTGGACATGAATCTAGGAACAGGGTAGCCACATCTTTTGGTGTTGAGGAATGGTCTTCAATGTTGCCTCACCAGCTCCATATACCAGAAAGGGCAATCCATTCAGGCCTTTTATGGCATTTTTATTCTGTCCCACAACTGTATGTAGCAGGTTCTGGGAATTCACTTTAGCCTTAAAGATGCCTCTGAATGCTTACTACTGGTATCATGCATCCCAACTAAGTTCCAGCTGAATTAATCTAACAGCTGAACTGCCTGTTACCAGAGCCCTACAATTTCTGGTATGGTGTAGGCCCTCAAGGGCTGTTACACTGGGATTCTTGAGAAGGAAATTCCTTTTTGGCTCAAGTGCAACCACCTAATCTCGCAGCTGAAGAGACTGGGTGAAGAGGGCACGGGAAAAATAAAAGGAGAAAGCGATTGGGGGGAAATGAATGGCTACTTGCCTTAAATAGCTGTTCTGGGCAACCCTCTTTTGCTCAATGGGCTAACACATTCATGATGCATTTCTGTTCCCCAAATCCTCTTTCTGCCTGCATCCATGGTGGCCCCATATATCTACTCTGGAGAACACACCTGAAAACATTTTGTGAGATTCACTAGAATACCTTAGCTCACTTTGAGAGATCCCATGTGTGTATAAATATATAACACATGCTATTGTCACCCACAGATTCATGAATTCCTATATCAATGTCATTTTCCAAATTCTTTTTTATTTGCATGCAAATATAGGCATGACCACTGTATATACTAAATGTGAAAGTGAATTTTAGCATAGTGTCCAGTGGATTCTTTGGAAGGTAGTCTTTTTTCCATCACCATTCTGGACTTAAAGCAGCACAGAGGAGTTCAATTATGACAAAGAACTGCTATTGTTTTGGAGAGTATATCCTGAATACATTGAAATTATATTGTGCCAGCCATCAGAATTCACCTTGGAGAAAAATGCTGACAATTTTGAGTCTAAAAGGAAGCAATATATAGCACAGCTAGAAAGTATGGTCTCTGTTGGTGCTGTTCTATTCTGTATTAAAGAAAGGAATTATTGAGGAAAATTGCAAACCCCAAAATATGTGCAGATATAAAGAGCAACAATCCTTGGGGAACTGTTCCTGATCTATAGATTTAAGATAAATTCCTAAAGCTTTCCTGTTAAAGCTGAATTTAAATGTAAAAGCATCACCAAGAATGCCATTGTATGTGCTCTTGTATAATTACCATTTATTTCAAAGGAGGCTTGAATAGGAAAGTGGTTCCATGGATTGTAGCGGTAGCCTTTTCAATGCTCCAGTCTTTCAGAAAATTTAACAGCAAGGTTTTGTGGCCTGTTTGGCTAGGGGGAGGAGGACAAATGGATGATCTTCAAAAACGTGGCCTTAGCATTTTTGCAATACTTGAATAAAAGTGTATATTCACTAAAGAAATTCCATAGCACAGCATTCAGAGACCTTTGAAGTCACTGCACAGTAAAGCCTTTTTTTTTAGTCACATTTGCTACTTAATCAGAGTTGACTGAACGTTCCAGCAGCAAAAACAGTTTTGACAGTTGTAAAGTAATTATTTGTAAATTGTACATTGTCAATATAAAGAGGCAAAACTCATCTGAACTAATTTGAAATCTAATGGAGAAAACAAAAGGAGTGAAAAACTATACATTGTAACACATTGGAGTAAATAAAAGTTTTGGGAGAGCTTTTGCTGTACATTTGCAGAGTTGTCTTGGGGGAACTATTCTTCCTTGCATACTGTACTGTGCAGATACTCAACTGCTCCTGCCTATGTGCTTATGGAAATAACATACTCACATAGGTTTCCAGGCCAATTTCAGCCAATGTACGCACTTTTTTGTGTAGTACGGCTTGGTAGAATACAGGGTGTTAAGGTTCTTGTAATTTTGAAATGTAAAATAAACCAGGATAGTCTCTGTGTACACCAATGTAAATACCTTTGTTATTTTGAGATGTACTTTAAGAGAATAAAGTCTGTAAATAAAGTGATTTATAAATTATCCAAATAGTTTACCAGTCCTTAAAGTCAAGTACTTTTGTTCATATGCTATGCGTTCTGGGTGAATCTAGGTTTCAACTCCCTTCAAAAATATTCACCGGTGACAAAGTGTGCTTTAATTACACAAATTGCTTTCTTGATCAAATCAGTGTCTAATTAATCCAGCATTACGTTTCCCAGATCAATCAAATGCCTTTGGGCATTCCAATAAGAACATAAAGATATTTGATTTCAGCACTTAATAATGGTTTCTTCTGTAGATGGAAAGTGTATTTACTAATGTTAGCAAGGACTATTTTTCCACAATTGCCACTTAAGATACTTTGAGCCTAAGAAAAGAAACAGAGAGAGAATAGTTCTAAGCTAAAAGGCCACCTTGATCTTTGTAGTCAATATTCTGAGTTTTTCTTGCTAATCTTGGCTTGAATTGATAGGTATTGCAAAACTTCTGCTAAAACAATATTGTTTATTATAAGAAACAGCAGACAGTACATAAAACAAGAAAAGGTAACAGTTGATATGTCACTGTTTGGCTAAAGTGGGATTAATGAAATATATGGCATAAACAGTGTCACAAAATCACACAAGACAAGTCTTTGTTCAGAGTATTTCAATAAGAGACCACAAGTTCCAGCCAAAGCAGTGAGTAGCAGAAGAATCAAGGCAGAAGGGTAGAAGAGTTGTTTTTTTTTTCAAAAGTAAATAATCCCTACTTGATTATAAAATCGTATCTTCATGTCATTTGGGCCAGTTAGACACTATGCATTCACCTGTCCAGATGAAAGGCTAGCTGTACTTACATTGGGACGCCACGAGGGCAAACTCAAAGTCTTCATACAAGTTCCTAGTAACTGACATCATTAAGCCAACACGTAGCTGAAAAGACAGATTCTGTTGCCTCTCAGAAGAGAATTTTTAAACAAAACGATGCTAGGTTGAGGCGAATTTACAGCTTCTCTCACGCCTTGGAAATTTGTTACTTCTACAATATTTTAAACAGGTGGTCATTTTCATATCTTGCAGCAGCCAGTGCCCTCTTGTTATATGATGTATTTCCTCTTCTTGAGTCTGAAAACTCTCCCAGTTAGGTTTCTTGGGTGGCCTTTAATTCTAGAATTATGAAGAAGTAAAAGATGTCCTCAAGGAAAATAGAAGAATTAGGCAAATCCAGAGTTTATAAAACAATGGAGGTAGATGGTCCAACCTCTGTGAACATGCAGGAGTGCCAAATTTGGATTAGTTCCACAGTGCTGAAAGAAATTAGGAAATATTTTCACCTCCAGCACTTTTCCCTCAGAGTACTTCATGTACTGCAATGGAAAGTGTCCTATGATTTCTGTGCCCTCATAAATATCATACCTCATACTCTTTTTAGTCCCATTCAGGATTCTTACCCCACAACTCTGAATACATCCTATTCTGTTTATGTGATTAGGTAAGAAGGGAAGGTATCACCAAAATTGAACTCCTTCAAACAACTGCCTGTCTTTAAGAATATATCAGAATAGCTTCCTTGGTCAGAAATTAGTGTTTTCTCATTTATAGTAGAAAATAAATGTTAAGAAATACTGTGTTGGGAATATAGCCCAGGTATTAGTGAGAGAGGAGAGCTTAGGGATGAGCTGAATGTAGATCCCAAGAATCATTCTAACATTGATGGAAACCAAGGAAAATATTTATAAATGTATTTAATTGATATCCCGTCTTTCCCTTCAAAATACTGCTCAAGCTAACTGTAATAAAAGAATTGGAGGAATTATAGCTACACATAAGTACATCAATGAAAACAGAAACACTCAGTACAAAGAAGATACTCAGTACAATTACAATACTAACATACAGCAGATGGGCAAACACCTGCCTAAATACAATTGACTTTCTCAGCTTGCAAAAGGAAACAGAATGGGAACTAGCATGATCCCCCTTAGCCGACAATTCCAAACTAGGAGCTGCAGTTGAGAAGGTCCTTTCTTTATTCCCATCATATGTACCCTTGATGGTGGTGAGATTAAAAGAAGAAGCTTCTTTTCTTCGAGACCTTAAAGCACACATAGACTCCTTGTGGAAAAGATGGACTTTCAAATAGATTGGTTTCATGTTGTATAAGGCTTTTTAGAGTATAGTCATCATCTTAATTTCTTAGAATCATAAAATGATGGCACCTGAAGGGACTGTAAGGATCATCTATTTGAACACTCTGCAGCATGCAGGAAAACCTGTTAAACCATCCTGACTGGTAGCTGTCCAACCTACTCTTCAAAAACCTTCAGCGATGGAGAACCCACAACCTTGGTACATAAACTGTCTCACTGGTAAACAGTTCTTAATGTCTGGAAGTTTTTTCTTTCTATTTAAACAAAATCAATGTAGCTACAACTTATACTCATTATTTCTGGTCCTAGTTTCTGGGGCAATGGAAAATAATTCCTGACCATCTACATTTTTATGTACTACTGATGTAATGTCTCCCCTCAGTCTTCCTTTATCCAGACATATTATTATCATTATTAATTTATTAATTAATTAAACTTGTATACCACCTGACTCTCAGTGATTCTGGGTGGCTCACAACAATTAAAGAAATTACAATAAAATCAATAAAAAATAAAATATTCCATGTTCCTTCAGATTGTGCTCACAGGGATGTCCTCAAGTCCTCATATCATCTTTTGTCACCCTGTTCTGAAACTATTCTGACATGTCAATATCATTCTGGAAATGTGCCCAGAACTGTACACAGAACCTTAGGTGTGGGCTCATTAGCACAGAGTAGAGAGGAACAAGGACTTCATACATCTTTCATACAATGCTTCTTCTAATGCATCCCAGAATGGCATTAGCTTTTCTAGCAGCTGTTGCACATTGCTACTCATGTTCAGTTTGTTCTTAATGACCACACCTAAGTTCTTCTCAGATGTTGTGTTTGCAAGTCCTATGTTCCCCTTTTTCTGTGTATGTTTTATTTTTCCTCCCTAAATGTAGTATCTTACATTTCTACCTGTTGAAGGACATCTTGTTCCTTTCACACTTGTCTAAATTAGACTGCAATCTCATTCTATCATCTTAATTGTTGGCCAGATCTCCTAATTCTGTGTTGCAGCATCACATATTATTTGGGCAGATTAAATTTACATCCTGCAAGGAAGGAAAAATGCTGTCAGGTTTTCAAGATTCTGACATGTAGCCTATGTCAAAAAGTAGCGTTCCAGTATTTCTTGTGGAATCTGTTTCCTGACCTGACCTACTTCAAAGAGGTAACCTCAATCTTGATAGACTGACAGTGTTTCCCCTTCCCTCCTTCTTACACCAGAGTTAATGCAGAAGTCACTTTCTATCCAATGCCTTCTTCCCTTCCCAGGGTTAGTTTATGTTTTGCTAACTGCACATCTTTGAAGTTTGTAAGTATAGGATCATCAGCAAATAATTTCAATTTATGTTCTTGTGTGGTTAGTTTAACTCAATGTTTCTCAACTTTGGGAATTTTAAGATGTGTGAACTTCAACTCCCAGCACTCCCCAGCCACACACACAAATTCCCAAGATTGAGAAACACTGGTTTAACTCCTGAAATTCTGTTATTTTGGTGTAGTTCAATTTCCAGTGGTTCCAGTGCCAGTAAAAACAAAGGAGAAGAGAGGGGACCCCCTTGTCTTGTCTCCTTGGATTTCATACATTGCTGTGAAATAAGAATATTTACTACACTTCTGCCTTTTTGTTCTTTATAAGTGCTCTGTATCCATGTACAAAAATTAGGGCCACAATCCATTTTTTTTCAAAACTACAAACATAAAAGGTGATTCCAAATTGTCAAGGGCTTTTTTCAGCAAGAAGAAAACTCATGGCCATTTTTTAATTTTTCTGATTTACCTTATCAACAACAAATATATCTCAAAGAGAGATATAAGAAACTAATATTGTTTCTTATATATCTCTTTGAGAGGAAGCCCCTCTGCTCAGGATGTATTATTTCAATTAAAAAGCCATTTAGCATCTTAGCAAGAATTACCATTAAAAGCTTATAATCCACATTATAAAGAGATGGATCTATAAGTCTTCAGGATGGGTTGAATCTTTTCCTTCTCTACAAATCAAAGAAATGAAAGCTGCTTCATATGCTTCTTTCTAATGGGTAGTTGACCCCCAAGTACTTTTAGAATTGATTCTTAGATGCAGTCAGGATTAGCTGATTAGCTATGAACTATGTTGAAAGTTAAATGAAACCATGAGGAGAAGTATCCTGACAACCAGATATTAAAAGACAGCCATCGGATTTGCTAATTCATACTCTATTTTTGAGATTCCCAAGGCAGCTACCTGGATGCTAGTGAAGAATGTTGATCTGAATGCTACCCAGATTATTAATAGTGGTTATTAATAGTTATTGGGTGAATTATATTTTTGTGGGAGAACATTGACTACCAAAGACGTCCTTTGAAACCAGAGGATTCATCAGAATGACAAACTCTGCCTCTGTTGTACACACAGGCAATGTCAAGATGCACATACCAAAAGAACAGAGTTTATGCCACAAGGTTGCAATGCATGTTTGTTCTTCCCTCCCCTCCTCCTGCTGCAGATGCCCATCTTTAATATACTTTACCTTCACCCCAGCATAGCACTGTAGCAAGAGAAAGAACAATGAGGTCACTGATATTTGTCTTCAGTTTCCATCTCCTCTCTTTAGGGAGAACAAAAGAGATATTTTGAATCCCCAAGAGCCAGGCCAAAATGTTTTTCTAGAGATGTCCCCAACAGCTATGGTGTGGGATAAGATGCCAAGGTTTAAATCACTGAGAGAGGGAACAAACACTGGTTTCAAATCTGCAAGGGAAAGCAACAGCCGCAGCCAAGGTTTCCAGGCTGGCTTGGAATGTCCTTTGGCTGAAGACCAGCTACTGACTTTGGCACAGACTGAATTCATTTGGAGAAGAAATTAGCCATGTGAAGCTTTATTCTTGCTACCCTGGATTCTCAGCTATCTGAAAATGCAGCAGGGAGC